GTAAGAATGAATGTTTTGATTGAACAAATCTTAAAACTTAAACTACTACTTTACAGGTAGACTTCTGGCGAGAAGCAGACAGGGTGAACAGAATTGCTCATGTGATGATTCCGCCGAAAATCAAAACAAAGCTGCTCCGGTACTTTGACGACCACGGTCTTCAGTATAAGGTGATGATTCCCGATGTTGAACGGCAAGTACCAGTAGTTAAAATCAGTTTATCTTTTCTCACTAACACTAACAGTAAACTCGCACCAGACTGGTGGAAAGCGAGCGACAACAACAGAAGAAAGCAGACAAGAAAATCGCTCGTCTGGTCGAAACTTCCGAGGAGGCCATTCCCGGTTTTTGGCTAAAGTACCAACGCTACGACCAGCACATGGCCCTACTGGAGGCACTTGCCCAGAAGAACCCGTCCATCGTGGAGACAATCACCTTTGGTCAGTCCTTTGAAGGACGAGCCTTGAAGGCGGTCCGCATCGGCGTCCCCACCTCAAACAACAACAAAACTCAACAAAATCAAAAGCAAGTCATATGGATAGAAGGTGGAATCCACGCCCGAGAATGGATCAGCCCGGCGGCGGTGACCTACTTCGCCCAGCAGCTGGTCAACCGCTACAATTCGGGTGACGAGGAAATTAAACAGCTGCTCGCCTACTACGACTTTTACGTGGCGCCAGTGCTGAACGCCGATGGCTACGAGTTTACCCACACCAACGTAAGTTTGTGCTTTTGCAGTAATCTAACAAGGCAATATATTGTAATTTGTGTATTCACTGTATAGGATCGAATGTGGCGAAAGACTCGACAGCCTAGTAAAAGATTGCCAGATTGCATCGGCGCCGACGCCAATCGAAACTACGGCTACGAGTGGGGCGGCGAGGGGGCGAGCGATGATCCCTGCTCTGATACCTTCAGAGGGGACGCCGCCTTCTCAGAGCCCGAGGCGAAAGCTGAAGGTGATTACCTGATGGCCAACTTTGGCGGACGGTTTAGTGCCTTCCTCGCCATCCACTCCTATGGACAGTTTTGGCTCTATCCGTGGGTAAGCTCAGTGAAAGGCTTTTTCTATTATTTTGATACAAGTTCATTAATTTAAAATAGGGATACAAGAGTAATCTGCACGCTCCAAATGAGGCTGACCTGGTAAAAATCTGACTGATGAAACTAGCACTGAAGAGTCAAGTTAACTTGTGATTTGTTTGTTTTTGGTTGCAGAACCGAGTTGCCAAACTAGCGGTGGCCGCCTGGAATCAAGTTTCTCCCACTACCGAGTTCAGATATGGAAACTCAGCAGACGTACTGTGTAAGTTTTCTTTTGCAAATTACTTTATTTTTCAAACCATTCACTTAAACTTTGTGCAAACCGAACCAAACCAAATTGTTAGACGCTGCCGCCGGAGGAGCTGACGATTTTGCGTATGGTTCTGCCGGTGCCAAGTACTCCTACACGGTGGAGTGCCCTGATAAGTGGAATGGGCAGTACGGCTTTCAGCTGCCGGCCAGTCAGATAGTGCCCGTTGGTCAGGCACTAACCAGCTCATTCATTGCCGTTGCCCAAGCGGTGAAGGGTCAATGAGGATAATGCCAGGAACGATGAATTAATTTTAACCTTTGAATTTGAATGTCAACTGCTCAACACGTTGACTTTGATTTGTTTAATTAAAACGCTCTTTTTCAGTTGTTTGCAATAGACGATTGCTGGGTTAGTTTTTCGCTCCAGTGCCTTTACTCTTCATTCGCAATCAACAAGTTTTGATTTAATTTGCTAATTTTGAATAGTCGGTAATTTCAAAACGGTTTTGCGGAGTTTTTTTAGGAAAAAGCTTAATTATTTAAAGCACTTGCTCTTGTTCTAGCATCTACAAAGCAAAATTTTACTCTGAGGCAACAGGTAGTTTTTGTCGTTTTTTATTTATATGAGAGGAGCAAACCAGTTTTGAGATTGATTGAAAACATTTGACGCCAACCGATGAATTGTTGGCAATAAAATGTGGCTTCATGGCTCATTGACAAAGATTGATGCTGCTGCTGCTGCTGCAATATTTAAAAAAGGTAAATGTACACAATAAAACTACCAGCTCGTGTTCACCTAAATAAAAAATACTCATTTCCATTCTCTAAAAGAAAAAAACATTTTAACTAACCAAAACAAAACAAAACAACAGAAAAAACCACCATGGCACTAAGCCAAAAAAAGAAAGCATCTGCCGTGGTGCATTCCCAAAAAAGTAGAGTACATGGCTCCCATCTGGAGCCCTCGTCATCTTACTACCGAAAACGACTAGACTCCTTTGTCAGTGGCCGCCAACTTTATGAGCTCCAACGATGTGCTTTGCAAATTTTCTTTTTAGTAGCAATGCACACCGCTGCTTTTTACGGCCTCTTTCTCATCCTCACTGGTAAAAACTGTCACTGGAAAACTACTTTTGCATTTTATTGTGAAACACTAATAGCCAGTGTAGCTATCACAGTCACTGAAACGCTGAACCGGCAAAAACAGCAGCGCTTTCAAGCGACGTTGCTTTTAAAGTAATGTAAAATTGTTTTGATATTTTTCCAAAAAACTAACTTTTTTTAAATTTTTGTTGAATAGACTATTTTTCACCTTTGGCAAAGCTTTTGGTTTTCGGTACTCCATATCAGTAAAAGGAAAAGCAAAATCAAACGACCGAGATTTTTGGCTGGAAACTGATTCTGCTTTGACTGGTTTGCTCAGCCCTCCATCTTGGCTCTGTTTTCTGATTGAGCTGCTCACCACCGCCGTCCTGCCCACCCTTCTTCCGGTGCTGCTCTGGGGCGAGGCACCGCTGACTGCTTTCAGCGTCTGTGTCGCCCTCCGTTTCGTCTTTATTGCCCACAATTTCATGCTAGTGAACAATGATAAGGTGTGCCGTCTGTACGGCAGTTTGCAGCAGATTGGCGATGATGATGATAAAAAGGGCTCAACTGATGTTGTTAATAACAACCAACATCGCCTCTTTCCCACGGACTACATTGCATTGCAACTTGGCTGGAGTGCTTCCTCCTTCAGTCTATCTTCTTTTTTCATTTCTGTTTGCAAAAAGCTTGGGCTAGCTGTATTTGATGATGGTGATAAACAGTGCTCAACTTCTAAATCAAAGGCATCTCCTTCAAATAAAAGGCAGATGATGACCTTTCAGCTGCAGGATGGAAGTCAGCTGGAGCGAGATGCCAACTACCACAGCAACCGATTGGCTAGCTTTACCGGCAGTGGCGAAGGCGGAACCGGAAACGCCTGTGACTTTCGGCAGTGCTTTCTGGCCTTGTCTTACTTCCTGATGCCCATAGTGGCAATGTGGACGTTTCAAGCACTGCTAAACTGCAGTGTTGTAACACTTTTAACCATTGTTGGGCTCACTGTCGGGCTGTGCTACCAAATTCGCTGTACTTATCGCATTTCCATCTAAAATAAATAAACATCACACAAGTTGAACACACAACAAATAAAAAACTAAAAACTCATTTTAATTTATAAAATAAAACTTTTTCAATCAAAAAAAACACACATTTTAAAATGATTCATAGTAGTGAATCGGGTCGACGCAGTTGCTCTTGTTCGAGCCCTTTGCACACTTGTGCAGCACATCTCCCGTGTGATCGAGGCAGATGTACACCTCCCAGAGCCAGCTCTCCCAGGCGCCGCCCTTCACCTGTTTCTTCAGACAGTTGACCGCCACTGAGTCGGTAGTGCTTAGCTCCTTATGGAGGGCGGCCTCAATTTCCGCTAAAGTGTAAGTTTTGGCCGGGTCATTGCTGGGAACGATGCCCGCCGAGTCGAGCCACCGAGTGACTGGATAGCGGTTCCACAGTTCCTTTCCCTTGCTGAAGTAGCCCTCAATCGTCCAGCCGGTACAGGTGCCGTGCTCTACCCATTCGTGTTTCCAAAAATCCGAGTCAGGTTTTCCCATGTTGAAGT